TTCTTTATTACAAATTTTCAATTCACAAAATTTTGAGCTTAAACACTTTTGAGCCAATCTTGAGCAAACCAATATCTTTAAAAGAGCATTTATTTATTAATACATTATTATATTGCTTTAAGTTTAGTAGTAATAACATTAATATCTTCAATTTATATTAACCGATTTTATATTGTTCATATTGTGTTAAAAAAAGATATTTTGTATCTTAGATATAAATACCTTATCAATAGTAAATTGATATAATACTACTATATAGGTTCTGTATATATCTAATGTTATTATTTAAGGCAATTATTGACAAAACACACTTTAAAGACACACAATGCGTTTAAAAAGTAATAAAGACACTCTGTGTATGTTTAATTTTTCACAAAAACTTAATTTTTACACAAAATCTGACTAGTATAGATATGTTTGTAGGTATGAATACAGTAGGATATATTACAACTTTAGACGAAATCTGAGAATACAACATTCTCTCTAGACTATTTCTCCTCATTAGATATTCTTATTTTAAATACAATAAATACAAATTAATAGTGAACTTAACAAATTTTCATAGGGATAAAAAAGTCTTAATCTACAGATGCATGAGCAATACATTTATTTTTATTAGATTTTGTATTAAAAAAGCCTCTTTTATTTTTCCTTTAGAGGCTATCGATTCTTTCATTATAATTTTGGCGTTATTAAAATTTATTCTGTGCCCTGTGTCCCATGAATGCTGACAAATCTTAGATTTGTGAAAATCTCCCTTTCTTAAATATTCTTTATGTTCTTTATTTCGAACATTTAAGGGTCTAGATGTTTCACCAATGTAAAATTTAATTAGTGGTTTCAATTACACTTTATACTTTTTAGTTTAAACATACTTAAGGTGTATTCCGTTGCTTACCTTGGTTATGGTTTTATGTTCCGTTTCTATCGGTTTCTTGAAAATTTTCTTATTACGGAACACGGTTCCTGAAAAATTCGGTTATAACCATGTTATAACTGTCACCACAGAATATACTACTGTCACCAAACTAACGAGCGCGAGAAGGGTTTTTTTCTGGTTTTGTTTGTCAATCGATGTCATTTATGTGACAGAAATCAAGCAAATATTGGAAGTTCGAGTGAAATTCTCATTTAATTTCTAAAATTTGTAATAATATTTTGTATTTACATCCAAAAGCAATGGAGGTAGGCAGTAAAGGTAAATACATTTCATTAACTAAATAGAATGACTTTCTAGGACCATTTAAACTTATCATGCAGCCATTGTTTCTTAAAGACAGGAACATTTAAAGAAAACATGAAAAACAAGACAACAAGTAATCGTGAATGTTTTGTAAGCTATAAAAATATAAATATTGATTAGATTTGTGTATTTATTATTAATCTGTTTTAATATTGGACCTGCAAATCTTCACTTGAGCTGTGTAACGAGTTTAACAGTTTATTAATAGAGTACTTTTCAATATATATTAAACTCCATTGAAAAGAAGAAGCAAATGTAAAAGTAGAGAATAGGTACATTAAAATGCATAAAAGATAAATTTAATAATAGAGGTATTGAAATTTAGAAAACATTTGACGTTTCCAATATTTTATTAAACCGTTCCGTATCAAACCGATGTTTTTCAGGAACCGCTCTTTATCGTAGTTTACCGGTCTGGTTCGCCTGGTTTTGCAACAAAATACAGCCTTAAAATTAATAGAATATCCTAGCAGCAGCTTGCGGTAATCAGTTGTATCCACGGAGATAAAACAATAAACTTTTGATTTCTAACCACATTTTCTCTTGACCGATGATAATCAAAGGCCAAAACTGGGCCAAAATGACATTCCTCGCAAATTTTGAAGTATAATTAGTGGAAAAGTTAAAAGTTTGGTAATTTTTTCCCACTAACTGAAAATTCCTACCACTAATTTTGACGTTCTGAATGTTTACCTTCAAATTAGAGGAACAAACTTCTAAGCTAATTGAAACCACTAATTTATTCCACTAATAGCGAGGTTCTGCATGAAGCTTTATTAGAACAGAAGATTGCTCCTCGTAGTTAAAAAACTTCTAACTTTTTCACTAATTATATTTCAAAAAATTTGCAAGTAATGTAATTTTGGCCTTTGATGATCATCCGTCAAGAGAAAATTTGGTTAGAAACATGTTAGAAATAACAAGTTTATTGCTTTCTAAGTTAGTTTACTATTAGGCCTTCTCTATGGATACCACTGGCTATCGCAAGATGTTACTAGGATATTCTATTAATTTTAATTATATTTTTTTAGACATTGTGAATGATCATAAACTCATAAAAGTACACTCAGATGCAAAAAATTTTTACTCAAATTTAAAGTGTTATATTTTTGTTATTTTTAGCCCTATTTTTATGAATTTTTTAGCAAGGTGTATATATAATTGATTGATTGATATAATTATATCAACTTTAATTCTTGTACTCAGTTTTTTTATAAACTTTAGTATTTGGCATATTATACAGGGTTACTTGAGGGGTTGTTTTTTACCCTAACTTTAAAACACCCTGTGCAATAATTTCGCGTGTCAATTTTCCTAAATAATAATTTTACGGTCAGAACCATGACTCCTGAGCATTTTGTTTTTTGGATCATGTCAATACATACTTTGGTTAATTTTTAAGAGCGAAATGAACCTGCCACCAACAATTTCCAATTTTTTTCAATTATCATTTCTTTTTGAAGTTATTTTTGAATATGACAAGACGGCTTTGGTGATTATTGTGAACTATACACTACTATGAACTGCTCAAAAGGGTTAAAGATCGCGGAGCGTTACCAGCTTCATTAAATGAACTTCACTTGGTTCTTAAAAAGAATTGGAAAACATAAAGCAATATGATATATGCAGCCTCAATGACAGTATGAACGGACATATACAGGCAGCTATAGCAACCAAGGGAGGCAATACAAAATATCAGGGTATTTTTTACAATTTTTGTTTTCTATTTGAGTACTTGGTTACTACAAATTTTTTCTTTATTATCCTTAGACTTGTTATCGTTATTAATGTTTATTAAAACCCGGACTGTATAGTTAGTTTTTAACGTTTTTTAAATTTAGTATAGAGTATCTAATGCAGCGCAATATGACGTTACGACAATAGTCACCAAAACCATCCCGTCATATTAAAAAATTACATCAAAAAGTAATGATAATTGAAAAATTGCAAATTGATCGTGATCAATTCATTTTGCTCTTAAAAATTAACCAAAGCATTTATTGACATGAATCAAAAAACAAAATGTTCTGGACTCATGGTTTTGACCGTAAAATTATATTTTAGGAAAATTTAACACGAAATTATTGCACAGGGTGTTTTAAATTTAAGGTAAAAAAACAACCCCTCTATTAACCCTGTATAATAGCCAAATATTAAAGATTATAAAAAACTGAGTTTACGAATTAAAGTTGATATAATTATATACAGCTTGCTAAAAAATTCATGAAAATAGGGCTAAAAATAACAAAAATATAACACTTTATATATAGGCCAGGGCAGTTAGGTGAAATAATGGCCTTTAAGAGAAGTTTTTGCAATCAAGCTAATTTTTTCACAGATGATAGTACCCATCAATAGTACTCTGTAAAAAAAGTTACACCTTCTAGGAGGCTTGCTTTTTCCGCCATGTTGAATTAAAGAGGGCCGACACAATATTTTTTTAAAAACTTTCTTATTTTTTTATCCGAATTACCTCAAACAAACACCATATTCAGGAGGAAGAGAAGCTATTTTTATAACAAGGTTTGTCAAAAAGTCGTATACAGGGCGAGAAAAAAAAATAAAAACCGCTTTTTTAATTTTCGGGAATTTTTTAAAATACATGATAATGCAAAAAAGATAAAAATGCTATTAATATTCATATTTTAACGCACTTTACACGTTTCAGGTGAAAGTATAAAAAATTTTAACATTCAAAAATCAGGAAATCGACAATTGAAAACTTTTATTCGAAATATCTCAAAAACTATTCGTTTTAGATGGGTTTAACACAGTTTAAATGGGGCAATTGTAGGGCTCCACAAGCTCTATCCACACAGGGATCAACCATCATTTTACAATTTATCATTTTCGAGATTTTTAGGATTTCTAGATTTTGCAAATTTTTGACTTTAGATCGATTTCTACAACACTTTGTACAATATTAAGAAGTAAAAAAATCGCGTTAATGAACACCACCTATGCTCTATCCAACAATGTATAACTAATTACAGACAAATGAAGGATATGGGAGATATTTTAAAAAAAGGACAAAAAAGGAAAATTTCCAAAAAACATTGAGGCCAAAATTGAACTTTGAGAACACAAGGTTTGGGATCTAATTTTGATTTGACAAATCTTCCTCCTACAGATGACTCCAGTAATCAACACGTTTTTAGAGTATATTTACCGGTACAAAGAGAGGAAACGAGTTAGATCCACTTGAGTGGGGGTGGTTTGCCAGTGGCAATGAACTTTTCCCAGTGACTTACATCAAACCTCCAGGGCCCGAACACCTATAATGCCAAATGCAAAGATCTTTGCACAGAAAACTGTGTTTGTGCTTCTTATAATCGGAAATGCAGCATTTTGTGAAAAAAATTCAATCAAGCCTGTCTAAATGCACCCAGACTCGATAATGAAGAAGTGGAAATAGATGATGGCGACATGTAAATACAAATGTGAAAAAGTTATTATTATGTATTTGTAGTTAAAAGCTATTAAAAGTTGAATCTATTATCGAGTTTATTATTAAGAATAACAATTTTTTCTTTTTTTTTAATTTATTTTTAATGTTTTTTTTAATTCATATTTTTAATCTAAAACCAAAGGCAACTGTTTTTATTTTATGCCAATCGAGCAAAAAATAAAGTATTTTTACATCCTGCATAAGTTTTATTTTTATTTGTACCCCCTTAAGAATACATTATACACTATATATCCCGCACTACTCAACCTATCATAAACTCAAAGACTTGAGTTCAAAATCAGAACTGATCAAAATCAGAACAAAAGAGCGCATATTCTTTAACCTTTTTTGCTACGAACTACGGTTCAAAAAAAAATTGAAGAAGAGCAAGTCGATTTCTTTTATTATTTTCCTTTTTTTTATTTTTGACAGAAAAACAACCTGTCAAAATAGTTTTGTATTTTTATTTCATTCTTTAGCCCCAAACAAAGGTAATGATTTTTACTTGACGAAAATCGGTTAATAAATAAGAAAGTTACGATTTTTTAAAGAATAGGACCAGACGCCATCTTTAATTCAACATGGCGGAGGAAGCAAGAGCTCTAGGAGGTGTAACTTTTTTTTACAGATTACTGTTAATGAGTACTATCATCTGTGAAAAAATCAGTTTGATTGCAAAATCTTCCCCTATTTTTGCTAACTGCCCTGGCGTAATAATTTGATCAAAAACATCTGAGTGTATAAAATGTAATTGTAACCACTAATTTTCAAGGTTCTGAATGAAGTACAAGTTTGTTAGAAATTAGGGTGTTTATATCTGGTGCGTCTCAAAAGTGGATCACCCCTATTTTTTTTTCAGATAAACAATCGAGATTTGGTATGTTAGCATATGACATAAATTAGGGTTGATTGACGTATTCATTTGTTTTTGGTCACTTCCTGTTTCACCGGAAATTACTACAAATATTGATTTTTAATTGGTATTAATTTATGTATCGGTATCTCTTTTATTTTATTTAATAGAATATGTCATTGTGAATAGAATGACATATCATTGGTCAGCTTTTGACATTTTCAGTTAAAATAAAAATAATATTTGAAATTTCAATCTAGAGTGGTTTGGCCGTAAATGTATTAACAGTTTGGCTGGAAATACCAAGCATGTGTTACCAAATTATTCGTAAAAAATGCTTTTTTCAAATATGCTATAATGAGCAACTTTCGTTCCATTTGAAAAAAAAATTGAGATATGATTAAAAATACGATTTGGGCATCTTTTAACCGGCTAGGACTAAGACACTAAAAACATAAGACGATCAAATCTATTTTTCCAAGGCTCCTTGATTAAAAATTATTGTTTTTAACATGGCACTCTAGATTCAAATTTTTAACACAATTTTGTTTTAAGAGAAAATGTCAAAAGTTGGCATATGATATCTCATTCTATTTCGTGTCATTTTCTATCGAATAATATAAAAAAATACCGAGGGTGTCATTTAAAAATCAAAAATTGTCCGGTGAAACAGGAAGCGCCCGAAAATATTTGAATACGCCAATCAATCCTAATTTATGTCATATATTAACATACCAAATCTCGATTTTCTATCTGAAGAAATAAAAATGGTATAGGGGTAAGCCACTTTTGAGACGCACCCGGTATAGTTTCATACCAAATAAACTTTTAGTCACGTGACCGGTCCAACGTTGCCCTTGTCGAGATATTAAAATATCTCGACAATTGATTTAGGTTTATCACACTTAAACCTTACCGTTTTTGAAATATTTTTAATTTTATGGAATTGCAGTAAAATTTTTAAGGCTTCATTTCTCCACGGGTATCGAAGTTTTTAATACTAATTATTTACTGAAGATTATTTATTGATCAGATATTGTGTTGCAAAAATAAAATATTTACTATTTTATACAAAGTGTCCAAACATTTATATTAAATAATTAGTAGCTTTAAACGGCAATAACTTGTTTAATTTAAACGGAACACCCTATATATTTTACGTGAATCAGAAGCACAATGTAATTGTCTATCAAATTGTATTATACCATTTTTTACCCATTTCTTCAAGTTTTCGTAGAAAATGCATTTTCTTATGATTTAGACCTCATTTATCACTATATACCCATGGAATATTGACATTTTAGCTTATTTTTAAAGATGTAACAAATTTTTAAAGATGCAACAAATGTTTAAAGATGTAACAAATTTTCACAGGGTACAGATACTAATATTGTCGATATAGTTCGCTTATTTAATTGAAAAATAAAAAAAAACTGTTTAAATATTTTTTGCTAAAGGGGACCAATTAATATGATCTCAGTATTCAAATTACTAACTACATTAATTGACTGTTTACGTTGGTTAATAATAATTGCTCCAAATAGTAAAAAACTGAATTTTCTGTGTATATTTGACAGTGTGGTAAAAAGTAACACATTATGAATTTTATTTCATTTTTAACGAATGTTTATTTATAAAAACAGAGGCGTTCATTTTCATAACTTATTATTATATTGATTTCTGAGCCAAATCCACATTTATTTAGAATACTTTATTAATTAAGACAATTTAAAAGTATGTAATTAACTAATTTTTGGTGTTTTTGGTCGGAAATAATGGTGGTATATTTAATTGGTATACTCTTTTACAAAGATTTAAATTGTTTTTTTTGTATGCCATTGGGTATGCCGTACATATATGGTGCTATAAAAAAATCTGAAATGTCAATATTCCATGGGTATAGAGATAAATGAAATGAATGATAATTATAAGAAAATGCATTTTCTGCGAAAACTTGAAGAGATGGGTAAAAAATGGTATAATACAATTTAATAGACAATTACATTGTGCATCTGATTAACGTAAAATATATAGAATGTTCCATTTAAATTAAGTTATTGCCGTTTAAAGCTACTAATTATTTAATATAAATTTTTGGACACTCTGTATAAGGTAGTAAAATTTTTATTATTGCAACACAATATCTGATCAATAAATAATCTTCAGTAAATATTTCGTATTAAAAACTTTGATACCCTTGGAGAAATGAAGCCTTAAAATTTTTACTGCAATTTCATAAAATTGAAAATATTTCAAAAACGGTAAGGTTTAAGTGTGATAAACCTTAATCAAATTTACCTTTATTTCAATCGTAGAATCCAAAAATAGAATAATATATAGGGTGTTCTATTTAAAAAAATACAACTATAATATTTTTTACCTATTTGGGACACTCTGTATCTTGTAAAAATATTTTAAAATTGTAGCTCTAATAGTCCTTCAACGAACCCAAAACTTACAATTTGTAAAAATCTAATCGTTTAGTTACAATACTCCGTATCGTATGTGGTGAACAACCATGTATAAACAGTTATTATTTACATCAGCAAAACTCACATTCTTAATAGTACCTAGTGGACATAGGGCCATTACTACCGCTTTCCCGTTCAAAATATTCTAATAATGTTGCGATGAGTTTTTTTACCGCTATTAAGCTATATTGTACACTTCACACTAAAAGAGGTTCTAAAAAGAAAAATGTTCTATTGCAAGGTCCGCTAGTAAACATTTTTAAGCTGAAAGTATCACTAGATAATTCATTTAAACCAAAAACTCGTAATACAAAACTAAAATGTCAAAACGATTGACAACGTCAGGAAATAAATAAGTAAATGTGGCAACTTGACATTTTTTACAGCAGAGCTAACACCTGAATCCTCAGCGGGAAATTTAAAATCCAGTTAATCAGCCCGGCGGCGGCGGCGGCGGCGCCGAATATGTCCATGGTTGGCCCAACAATGAATTTAAAAATCGCGCCCTTAATTACGTAACTAAAAGTTTAATTGGTATCAAATATATATTATATATGTTTCCATTTTACATTTGCTACATTTTTGCTGTTTTAAATCTAAATTAATAAAAAATAGTTTATACTTAAGTCTTGTGTGTACAGCATTCTAGTAAAATCCTTGTTTATATTCAAGGTAAAACGTTTAGTAAATTATTTTCATATTTGTATTTTGATTAATAAACAATTTAATTTAAAAATATTTACGACGATATAAACAGTTTAATTGGAACCAAAATATAGGATATTATTTTAAGTGTTAAAAGAAATGTACCGTGAGGCTACTAATCAATTCATTACCAATAAAGAGACAATGAATAATATATAACATCAATAAACGAGCCAATGACAGTACAACACTATAATGGCTGTGAAAAAGTTATCTGCTATCATAGCTAACAAATTTACTGACAGCATTGATCACTCATAATAACATTAAGTAATGGTAAAGGCTGTTCTTAAAGTTCGAAAAATTATTAACTTAACCGGAAGGTTCTAAAACAATTAAAGATGTCTTACAATTTCCCAGTATTGCTTCAAAAGTTGTATAAATAAAACATAGTCTACAACGAGTCCAATATTGAATCCAGCATTTCTAGTTGACATTCGTCCCATCCATTGGTCGCTAACAACAATCCCGTAAGTTCTTCTTCTCCAACTATTGGAGGGGCTACCGATTCGGTAATAGGTGGAGCTTGAGGCATTGATGGTGGAACAGTAATTTCCGATCTACGATTAAAAATATACCTGATTTGAAGAAGGTGTCCATATTTCTCAAAGATAACTCATTTGTAAATTATAAAAAAGAAAAAATAAGTCTCAAAGTCTAATATACAGGGTCGCTTTTGTGTATGAAAACGGTCGATTATTAGGTAAAGTATAGGAGGTATACCGCAAAAAGTTTAATACAAAAGTTATAGGATTTTTAAATATCTATTAGCGAGTAATAAATTTAAGTATTCAGGGTCGGTCATAAAGTCGTGGCACATAAAAGTATCATTTTTTTTAAATAGAAGCCCCTGTATATTATTGCATATTTCAATTCTTCCTTCAATTCTAAGCAAAAATCGAAATACACACAACGTACCTCAAACCAACCGTTTCCGAGTTATTGGCTTTTGAAAATATCACTTAAACTATTTTATTTAATTAATTTCGATATGTATATAGTTTCATTTAACGATGCCATTCTGGAGAAACTGTAATACTTAATAGTATTTGACATCAGTTCTCAAGTTAGCATTTATAGATGTATAAAATGAGATTATATCAAGTCGGGAAATTACAAATATTTCGTTTAACATTTCAAATCTTGAATTTATGTACATTGTGTATTACGATTATTGCTTAAAATTGAAGGAAGAATTGAAATATGCATATAATATACAGGGGGTTTCATTTAAAAAAAAAGTTTGATGTGCCACATTATGACCGATCCTGTATACTTAAATTTACTAGTAGCTAATAGGCATTTAAAAACCCATTACAAGAGTATCACAGTTTCGGCAGAATTGCATCATTAAATGAAACTGAATATATCGAAATTAATTAAATAAAATTGTATAAATCTGTTAAGACTTTTATGAGCCACCCTGTAGAAGTTAATTTATTTTCCTGAAATACATCCTAGTAAATACTTCAGGTTTGCACTCGAACAAGATTACCAAGTTTTTTATTCTAGGAGCTACCGGTACCCGACGTACTATTGCCGGACCTGTATATTAAAACCGAGATTTTGAGTTATTTCTTCTTTATAATTTACAAATCAGGTCGAAGTTCTAATTAAAATAATTAAACTTACTTATTCAGCGTTGTTGAAATCCCATCCTCAATATTTACTTGTGGTATTAAAATATTTTCAATATTAGTTTTTGCTCCAGAATTTTCATCATCAATCGATTCTGACAGTTTGTGGGACCTATTTTTTTGGATTGATTTTGACGTGTATTGACTGAACTTTTTGCTTTTCAAACTTGCCCTTGCCGCTTCTTCGACATTCTCGATATCTGTAGCCCCACAAATCGAGATATTTGAAAGAATGTTATGCTTCCGTTCCCCTGGGGTAGCATTTGGCCTATACCTAAATAAATAAATGCCTTTATTGTCAAAAAAATTTACAATTTGTGAACAAAGGTAAAGTAAACAAACAAAAAGAATACAAAACAAGTATACAAATTACATTGTCAGTCTTATTGTTTAAAATAAACATTTATAAATGTTTAAAGAATAAAAAAATAAAAAGAAGATTCAAAAATATTTAGTAAGTTTATAGTAAATATAGTAATAGCAAATATTAGACCAGTGTTTACAAGATCAAATTCGATTATCAAAATATAAGTCATTTACGGCATAGAAAGCCTTGTCTAATAAATAAGATTTCAATGCTTTGCGAAATGAAGAAAATTATGTTATGGATTAGATTTTAAATGGCGTGATTGTGCATTTTTTTCGAGTTGTATAATATTGAACTTTTAACTAACTCTGAGCGTGGGATAGGTACATAAATATCTTGCTCCGCGTTCCTGAGTGGACAAGTGTGAGATGGCATTTCTTGACAAGCTAATACATGCTTACGTATTAGGCAAACGTATTCAAATATAAATAAGGAAGGAAGATTTAATATTTTTAATTTTTTAAAAAAGGTCTGGCTATGAGTTCTGCTGTTTAGTCCCAGTGAATATCGAACAGCTCTCTTCTGAAGCTTGAAAATGCGGTCAAATTGAGTCGCACAACACGTAGGTACCCCAGAATGGAAGGGCATTTCTGAGGTGCTTACAAGTTAAGCTCCTTAGAAAAAGATCTTAATGCAAAACAGGCAGATCTTAATTTTTTCGACAAAGCGTCGATATGCATGTCCCATTTCAGAGAATTGTCTACAACAAGCCCTAAGAATTTTACAGATTTTACGACGTCAATGGTGGTGTTGTTAAGTATAAAAGGCTGCAGCGAGTTTTTATACGACAAAGCTTTAGTTTTAGAAATGTTGAGACTCAGGAGGTTCGAATCGCACCAATATTTAATGGTGATTAAGTCATTTGATATAATCCTATGAAGTGCCGTGACGTCTTTGTTGCTCTAAGTGAAGCTAGTGTCGTCCGCAAAAAGACATATTTTACCACTGATGTTTATGTTAGCTATGTCGTTAATAAAAAGAAGAAACAAAATAGGGCCTAGACTGAGCCTTGTGGTACTCCACATTCTATTGGCTTGCTAGAAGACAACGTGGTATCCACCCTCACAAGTTGACTTCTGTTGCTCAGATACGATTTAAACCATTCGAGAGATGTTCCCCTGAACCCATAGTGCTGCAGTTTATTAATTATGATCTTATGATTTACACAGTCGAACGCTTTAGAAAAATCAGAGAAAATTGTTGCTGTAGAATGACGGTTATTTAGGCTGGAGTAAACTTTATTAAGGAGGGAAGAGATGGCGTCATTTGAGGACTTGTTGCTCAGAAATCCAAATTAATGTTCAGTAAGTATTTTGTACTTAAACAGGAAAGATACCAGCCTTCTTTTAACCAACCTTTCTATGATCTTAGATAGCGTTGGAAGGAGTGCAATTGAGCGATAGTTAGAAGCTTGATCTTTGTCTCCTCCTTTATGCAGAGGAATTATTATTGCCGTGTTAAGACGTTTTGGAAAAATACCATTTTGGAATGACATGTTTATTAAAGTTATTAGGTGATTATTCAGAGTACTTTCTGGCAGATTCGGAAATATTTTTAAAGTTAGCTCGTCGCGTCGGTCCCAGATGAGGATTTATTTTTGATGGTATTAATTGTACTGCGAAGCTCTTCTAAAACTACGGGCGAAGAAACGAAACTGTGTAAGTTCACATTATCATTAGAGAGATATGAAAGTGGATCAAGAGAAGGACATATGGTATAGGGTATTAGTTAATTTTTTAGCTACATTTATAAAGTAATCGTTAAGGTTCTCAGGTGAGGTAGAGATATCGCTAGACGAAGAAGCTTTGTTTCTCAAATCATTCACAATAGACCATGTTTCTTTAGCATCATTACCAGAATTGGCGATTCTCCTATTATAATAAAGGTCCTTAACGGCTCTTATAGTCTTATGATAAATTTTTCTGTATAGTTTTACGTAATTATGGAAGAATACACTGCCTGAGAATTTTTTTTTAGTGAGATAATGAACGCATGTTTTTAGAAGATAAAATAAAATAAAGATAAATAAAAAATAAAATAATATATACCTAAAACCTAAGTGTTAAAAATTTATACAGTAATTTTGACTAAACTAATTACCTTTTCGGTTTCTTATGTGTCTTTTTCAGATTCATATTTTGGCCGTTTTTTGGCGTTCTGACTGTTAAGCTAGATCTTCTTTTGGATCTTCTAGATTCCTCTAATCTCTCTAAGTCCAATCTCCAGAAGCCACCTTTTCCCGGCTCGTTTTTTGATCGGGCTTGTTTAATAAAACATTTGTTCAATGACAAATTATGCCTAATTGAATTCTAAAAATATCAGTATTATTTTAGACTAAGTATACAAGGAGTATCAAAAAACATGTATCATCTTTCGTGGGGAGATTTCTCACGTAAAATAAGATTTATTTTTTATATCAATATAGGTCTGATTCGGCTTTGTTTCGTAGCTACAGCGGATTTTGACAATAATTAGTTAGGCATCTGTAGATCCTGGAATAAAAAACTTGGGAATTTGGTTTAAGTGTAAACCTAAAGTATGTACAAGGATATGTTTCAGGAAAATATTTTAACTTCTATAGGGTGGCTCAAAAAAGTGTGAGTGGATCGGGATGATTCTTTTATTAAACGAAACACCCTGTATATTATTGCATTATTGCATTAATATACAGGGTGGTCCGAACTGTATTCCGGAAACTTCGGCAACATATTCTGCAGATAAAAACAAGTAAAAAAGTTCGTATAAATGTATGTCCTAAAATGCTTAGTTTCGGAGATACAGGGTGTAGAAATTTCATTTTTATTTCGATTTTTTTCCAAATAATTTATAAAGTAACGTCAATATTTTAATGAAAATGAATGTATGAAGGTTTTTTGACATGAGAAATTTGATATTGATGTCAATATGACTCCTACTTGTAGAGGGCGCCACTTATATATTATTTAACTGGTTTGAAGAGTAATAACTTTTTGTCCGTACCTGTATTAAACTACTGAGTAAAAAAATATACATTTACGACGTTTTATACGTAAAGAAGGTCCCTTGGTAAAAATCGCTACGAGTAGTGGTTCTCCAGATATTTGGAATCGAAATTATCAATACCTATCATCGTTGACATAAATTAAACATGTTGACTAAATAGTTATTAGATTGAAATCATAAATTTGAAATGTTTTTGTACCAAAAGTTCAACAAAAACCGTTTATAATCATTTTCCGCAGAAAAATTTATGATTAATTTAAAAATATAAAAATTTTTGCAAATTTATTATTTCAGTCAAATAACTATCCATTCAAAGTGTTTATTTTTTTGTCAATAATGACATGTATTAACTATTTCCACTCTAAATATCCTGAGAACGGTTGTTCGTAGCGATTTTTACAAAGAAATATTTTTTACGTGAAAAGTCACGAAAATTTATATTTTTTCACTCGGTAGTTTTATACAGGTACGGACGAAAAGTTATTATTCTTAAAAACAGTTAAAATACATGTAGGTGGCGCCCCCTACAAATAGGAGTTATATTGACATCAAAATCAAATTTCTCATGTCAAAAAATCCCCATTCACCAATTTTCATCGAAATATTGACGTTACCTCATAAATTATTTGGAAAAAAACGAAATAAAAATGAAATTTCTACACCCTGTATCTCCAAAACTAAGCATTTTAGGACATACATTTATACGAACTTTTTTACTTGTTTTTATCTGCAGAATACGCTGCCGAAGTTTCCGGAATACAGTTCGGACCACCCTGTATAAGTACTTTTGAATATCAAGTGATAGGTATACCCTATAGAAATTATATTTTCCTGAAATACATCCTAGTACATACTTTAGGTTTGCACTTAAACAAAATTCCCAAGTTTTTTATTCCATGAACTACAGATGCCCGACGAACTTTTGGCGAACCCTGATGTATAAAAAAGTTTCCGATTCAACCACGACAGGTGAAATAACGAATATCGATAACTCAATAATATACATTATTCTAATTTCTTGCATACTTTTTGATGACCACAAGGAAGAAAGTGCTTGGTTACCTGCCAACTAGGATGAGCCTTTCGATAATACAGAAAGTTTTCCCTAATCCAATGATATATTGCATTTAATGTCATTTTGTTCCCATTTTTACCCATTGCCATACAAATTAGAGTAGCATAAGAGAATGGAGGTTTCTTGTCACCGTTTTTCTTGTAGAAGGTTATGTCTATTGTCAAGTCGGCAGATCTAGGAGGAACATTTTTCAAATCATTTCCATTGATGCTATTTTTAGATTTTAGCTTCAGTTTTGGTGATACAGGTGGTGTTGGCAAATTTGGTACTGAAAAATGATATGAAAAAGGTTAGATATATGTACATACATAAAGTCCACTTTTAAGTAACAGGACTTTAACAGTAGTAGTATAAACTTATTTTAGGAAAAAAATTATATGAACATAGAGTTAAAAACTGTTGCTTTTTAAAATCGTTTGATTTTTTTTCAGAGAATGATCGGCTATTTATGACAGGAGTGGAACATATAAAGATATTTAATCAAATTTGGTATACAGCTCTATATTGTACCATATTTAGTAATGTTATAAATATCAGGGCCTATAACCAATCAATGCTGGAGCTGTAATACTACTATAAGGTGTAAAATTTTACCTTAGAATGGTTTACCTTATTTTTAGAATGGGGCAAAAGTACGCACGGGGCAATAGTCCTAATTGAAAATTAAGGGAAAAATAACTACAATTTGTCAACACCACTTAAACCTACGCGTGTCAACCGATTTTTAGTCATCAGTCTGTTTTCAAACGCAGACGAAGAGATAGGCCGCTACCATGAAGTAAGTTACGTAAGTTTTTTAATACAATGTGGTCTAGAGTATCTTTGATAGGTATATTTAGAGTTGTGCGATATATTTGTATGCATGAACTCCAATGGTATAGCATTGGCGGGAAATTTGAAACTCTATCATATCTGTGCGGCAAATGACCTATTTTTTCCTGGGGCAAAAATTCGCTCGTACTTTTGCCCAATCTAATTTAAATCGAAGAAACATGGCTAGAAAAACATTAATGAAAGACTTCGGAAACGTAATTCTAAAACAAACAATGAAGATAAAGAAAATAATAAACACCAAAGTTCCGAAAAAAACAAGAACGAAACAATTTTCTGCCCTGCTTGTGAACAAGAATACACGATCCACCAATAGAAGACTGGATAGAATGTGGGAATTAATCCAGATGGTGGCATGAACAATGTACAGGGTGGCTCAAATTCGACACTCATCACTGGGATTTCGGAAACCGTAAGAGATACAGGATCGGTTAAATGGATGCAAAGTTGGGCAATTTGATACTAAAAAAATGCCGTATTGCATTTTGAAAAATTCCGAATACTTCCGAATATATTCGAAAAAAACGGAATTTTCAATTTTGTTTTCTATTGTTTCCTGGCTTTATTTGTTAAGATAACTTAAAATGAAAAACACATTTTTATGGCCACTTTTTCTGCTCTATAACTATGTGTGATTCTGGCGACCATCATCAACTTAATTTTTTTAAATACGGACCTGATTTTTTTTTCAATTTAATTAAATCCTTTCATCACTCTTAAAACACTATATATAGTCACTTTGATATTTGCCGACGATTCGTACAGAAAATTCCATCACCAGAATATTTTATGCAAAAAAAATAAAAATGCAATACGGCATTTTATTGAGCATCAAATTGCGCAACTTTGCCTCCATTTAACCGATCCTGTATCTTTCGGTTTCCGAAATCCCAATGATGAGCGTCGAATTCGAGCTACCCTCTACAGCCTATGTAAATAAAGGCCCTTTTATTTGTGATGTTTGTGTATGATGTTAGTAACATCGGGAATTTGACCCACGCAAATTGGAATTGGTGTTTTTGTTCCTTTTGTTAATATATTTTGTAAAATACATCTTTACTTCTTAAAAAAAAGTGTTGCTTAATTGTTATAAATAGTTAGTTTTATATCTACATCATTGATGGTATTATTATGTGGATTTAAGTCTTAAGTGCGTCGTTTTGCCCCATGCTACTCTAATGCATAACTATTATATTATAGCCTAATATACCTACCTATAATATTCAAACATTTAAAATTCCGAGTAGTTTCGGATATTTTGGAGAAAAACCGAAATTCGAAGATTTTCATTATATTTTTCCTGACGTTATTTGACAAGGTATCCCGATAATCAATGCACATTTTTATATATTGTCCCTCATTTCCAGCTACACAACCGACATTTCGTTTGCTGACCACCATTACCAACTTTTTTTATATGCTTCATATTAGATTTTTACTCATATAAATAGATAAATTCATTGCGATTATAACGAGGGTATGTAGAATGTAGGAAGAGTGGGAAAAAGGTTTAATCATTTCGACCTTAAAGATCTATTGTGCCTCCCTTACTCATCTCATACAGTTTATAACCCATCATACTGGTTGTAGGGAGGACAGGGTATTTCCCATCGTCGCGCGTTGTCTGAAAACAGATGTTCCTCCTCTGAGAGCCCCCTTCTACGGTTGGGATTTGGCCCTCCGTATCTTTCACAGTCGAAGAGCTTGTCTCTGGCTGAGGTACCCGTGAGGTGGAGGCTGGAGGATCTGTCTTCATTTTCTGCACCTTTTTAACTTGGTCTCTCCTTAGACCTGATATGCCGAAACGGTGTTGTCCCGAACCTATAATAGAGGATATAATATCTCTCTTTATTGCCTCCTTGGATTTGAGGTCAATTCCTGTTGTGAGGATCTGACCATGACCCTCCTCCCTCGAGTTGATAACTAGCCAACTCGATGTCTTGCCAAGTCGATGGTCCAAGTGCTCATCCAGCTTTTTAAATAATGTTCTGTGTGGATATTCTCTTTCTGAATAATTTTGCAAATGCAGTTCTGATATTTTTGCGCTACTTCTGTCAAATTTGTAATAAAGTTGCAAACATGTCGACATTTTTCATTTAAACAACCCAAGCCACCTAATGAAAAAGGGATTTTCACAAAATTATGATCGTTTCAAAGCCACTATGAATAACTTGTTGTACTTCGTTATAGTCGCAATCGATTGGAAAGGAACTATCGAAAACGAAAAATAGCCACCTTATCCGACAGTCAAGCAGCACTAAAAGCGATCAACTCAGTAACCATCAATTCTAAGTTGGTCAAATGCCTAGAGAAGCTGAACAAATTAAACAAAGAAAATAAAGTCCTCCTACTCTAGGTACCCGCTCACCATAAGGCAATGAAAAAACAAACAATCTAGCTAAAAAATAAGCGAACACTCCACTAACTTGGCCAGAACCGTCCTTCTTTCCAAGCAGACACCAACCTAAAGCGGAACTCAAGAATCCATCAGTAACCTGAAATGGGAATTCTTCAACCCCCCCCAATCGGTCTAAGACACTCAAAAACTTTCTCAGAACTTACAACAGAGAAAGATCAAAGATCTTCCTTGATTTAAGTAAGACCAATCTTCGGATTGTCACGGGGTTTCTAACAGGACACTGTCTCCTCAACGAACACCTCAGTAGATTGAAGCTGAGAAACAACGGCCAAATTCAGATTCTGTGGAGAAATGGGAAAACACCAAAACACCTTATCACTGAGTGCGCCGAAACGACATCCGTTTATGCCATAAACTTTGGTACGGCTGGTATCGGAGATGGAGAGCTGGCCCCCGTGGAACCGTCTCAGATACTGGTTTTCACTAAAGCTCTGAGACTGTTTAATAAGTTATAATTCTTTATAACTCAAGAAAGGAAAACACACAATAGATCTGTAAGATCGCGGTGATTAACCCCCCTAAACCCCCTAGACAATATACATTCTATATCCATTTATGTATTTTAAATTCTAATATGGCGTCTATAAGAAACAATAATGTTGATGATGGTAGTTAAAAGATGAAAGGTCGGATGACAAATCTGAAAACACTGCTGTATAACAAGAAAAAAGTGGCAATGAAAATGTGCTTTTAGTTTTGAGATATCTTGTCAAATAACATCAGAAAAATATAAAATCAATTTTTCTCCGCAACTACACTCGATGCAAAAAAACGCAACAGAGAAAATTTTGGTCAAATTTAAAGTGTTATATTTTCATTGTTTTTAGCCCTCTCTTCATGATTCATTAGCAAACTGTATATAATTATACATTACTTTTTGATGTAATGTTTTAATATCACGAGATGGTTTTGGTGACTATTGTCTTAACGTCACATTACGCTGCATTGAATACTCTTATACTAAATTAAAACAAAAACGTTAAAGACTAACGATAACCTCGCATAATATGCCAAATACTAAAGTTTATAAAAAACTTGGTTTACAAATTAAAGTTGATATAATTTATACAGTTTGCTAAAAAAATCATGAAAATAGGGCTAAAAATAACGAAAATATAACACTTTAACTTTGACCAAAAATTTCTCCGTTGCGTTTTTTTGCATCTGATTGTACTTTTTATGGAATTTTAAATGTTTATGGAACTGTCTATTATTAGCACATCGATGCATAACGTTGTACTAATTTAATCATCCACTACAATTTTTGAGATCCCAATGATCGAATTTGAGTTAACCTGTAGGTATACTTTTTTGAGAGAAAATAACTGTAACTGTAACTTCTAAACTAAATTAATATATCATAATGGTACTTTACCTGACATTATATTTGTAATATTATGCAACCAATTTAGACTTGTCAAATCAGTTTCATTTTGTTCAATTTCGCTCTCGCTTCTTGGACTCAGCAGCGTTGTTGTAGGTTGTCCTTTTAGTGACGTTTCCGGATCATCATACTCCATTCCTGCTAAATCAATTGATTCTTCAGAGCTATTGCATTGCGCGCCATCATTTTGAAGCGCGAAATCGTTAACAGTGATAATGTTAATATTTGACAGGCCTTTGATATTAACTAAACCTAGTGTATTTAAGTTTACATTTAAGGGCACAAGATTTACATTGTCGTTGTTATTTTTTATGTCAATGACAAAGTTGTTTCTATAAAAATTTGATTTTTCAAGTATGCGCATATCAATATCATTTTGAGTATTTGCCAGTTCATCTATATGGCCGTTAGTTAACGTATAATCTTCGTCATGAGAATTATCCTCTGTGTGATTAATACTATTTTCAAAATGTCGGTTAATTAAATTATCTGTGTCATTAGTATATCCATTTTCTTTAAGTTTTAAACTTTCCTCTGTTTTATCAGAATTAATGATAACTTCGTCATAAACTTCGTAACTATATTCGCTGTCGCCATGGGTACTTTCCAGAGTATGGTTATGTTTTTCTAAAATTGACGTTTAAAGTATTCTAATACCTAGTAATAATGTTTTATTTATAAAATACCTTGTATGGCACTTATATTTGGTTGATTGTTGTCAGAAATTTCAAATTCTTCGTCATCGTGCTCTGGAATTATATTTGTGGATTCAATTTCAATACAGTTTTGCACATCAGGTAAATATTCACCATGTTTAAGATGAAAATCTAAAATAAGACGAAATTAATTTTGTAAAACGAGTAAATTAATTTTCTATTCTAAATTACCTTCCATATAGAATTCCTTGTTTAAATGTTCTAGTTGTCTGGTAGCTGTTTCAGTTTCTTTTGAATCGTCGAAATCCATAGCTTCACAGTTGTTATTACAAACGCCGCCTTTACAACTCTTACATGTGACAGTTGATTGATAGGAGGGAATCATTATTTTATAAGTAGTTCTAACTGATTTTAATAATTACTACTTATCAATAAAACTATGACTAAATATTGTGATATATGAGCAACTTTCTGAGCTTATGTGTTTGCGTAATGCTTGTAAGAAAGTCATATCTCTTCTTCCTGAAAATAATATTTTTATGATTATTATCTATAGATGGGTCAAATATTCACAAATATGTATAACACACTGAGTAAATATAATGTTAATTTTAACTTTAGATTAAAAAATAATATAAAAGATCAATTTTTATAATAGTTCATTTAAATATACCAGGTATTTTTCAGTAGTGGCTCACCCCTATAACTTAAATTAATAAAAAAAAAATAGATTCGGTATGTTAATACCTATATGACATAAATGGGGAAATTTAAAAAAGGCGTCCATTGAACCCAAAAAAATCTGATTTGAAATTCAAAAGCCAAAGCAATAAGACTCTTGAAACCGAGACTTAGAATCTTGTTGCTTTGGCTTTTGTATATAAATGGGGATTTATTGATGGATTCAATTATTTTCGGCCACTTTTTTTGATTTTTGTTTTACCGGAAATCTAACTAAATCTTTTGATTTTTGAATGGAAACCCTCCTTATTTTTTACTTTATTTGATAGAAAATGATATTCTGAATAGATCGACATATCACATGCCAATTTTGATATTTTCATTTAAAAAAAAATGTATTTTAAATTTCAATCTAGTATTAAAACCACTAATTTTTAAACAGAGTCTTGGAAAAATATATTTGCTCGTCTAATGTTTTTCATGTCTTTCCCTGGCCAGTTAAAAGATAACCAAATCGTATTTTTAATCATAATTCAATTTTTTCAAATAGAACGAGCAGTGGCGAATACAGAGAGGGGTCCATGGGGCTAAGGCCCCCGTAAAATCTACAAATTAGATTAAATATTAGACTTTTGGGTTAAAAATGGCGCCCTAAAAAGCATATTCTACATGACTTTTCATTTAGGCCCCCCCCCTAAAATAAATTCCTGTATCCCCCCCTGAGAACGAGGGTGCCTCATTAACATAAATATTTGGACCAACCAAACTCATTTATTTTAAGAGAAAATGTCAACAGTTGACATGTCCTATGTCATTCTTCAGAACATCATTTTCTATCAAATAATGTATAAATATACCGAGGATGCCATTTAAAAATCAAAAATTGTTGTTATTTCCGGTGAAACAGGAAGTGACTTAACGTAATTGAAAACATCAATCAATCCTGATTTACGTCCTATACTAATATACCAAATTTTGAAAAACACCCGGTTTAATAATAAAATAATTAAACTTAGAATACTCTAGGTTTGACACAAAAAATTGTAAAAGTCACTTATTAAAATCATAGTAAGGAGCGTTATATTATGAAAAATAATAACCATTTTTAACTAGAGACTTACCGATAAACCTATAATTGAATACTCTTGTTCACAAGCAAGTTTTGAGCAAGTTTTTTTTTCTAATTATCCAAAGATAGATGGTCTTTTCGATCTAGAAATAAAAATATGATTATTAATTATGTAATATATAACATTTATATTTTATAATATATTTTATTCTAACGTTTTCTTTTTTTCTGCGAGAATTCTGAAAAAATGCGTGAAATAAGAAGAAGAGCTTTTTCACCCTTTAGGATGTTTTTGATGATAGACAGTTAAAGCACGGCTTAAGACGTAGACGTAAACGTATCGTTTGACATGTACGCTTGCGCAGTGAGAAATTCACTTGCGTTTACGGATACGTGATACGTATCTTTACGTACGTACAAAACGCAAACGTATCGAGCCGAAGGAGTTTCGATTTCACCCGAATGATGCCGAACTTACAAATTCACAAACAACTCGTTTCCATATAACAGGCTAGTAATTAAGTTATTTCAAAAATTTTGGGGCCTGTGTAACAGAACTGGGCCTATTTTATTACAATAATTTAGTATGAAAATATTAAGCATCATAATAAAATCATTTTGGAATCTATTTAATTAAATGCTAGTTCTTAGCCAAAATCCATATGGGGATTCTAAAAGATGGAATCTAATAAATAATCATAAAACTGTGTCTATTTTCCAATATTTTTTATTACTAAGAGCATTTTAAGTTGTAAGGACTACTTTCTGTAATAAAATAATTTCCATTTATAATTTTCTTCATTTTTCGATATTACTTATATAAATTTAATGTGGAATCAATGGAATAATAGATATCCATTTTCAGTTTTAAAATTAAATAAATTGTTTCACAAAATAATTTAGAATTACAAATGTACCATTTGCGTTACCTACGTCAAAATACTTGCTTTAACTCTTGTTTACACGACAACTCAACGGCAGACGTAACGTAGGTTTTTGAAACCAAGTTTTTTAACTTGGTTTCTGCGTTACGTGTCGAGAGATACGTATACGTATTGTGCCTTGCTTTAACTGTCTAGTATCTCTGAAATAATCTCCATTGTAATTGTTTCAATCTGTAGTACATGTTGTTTAAACCTTTGTATGTGCGTCATTACGTACACATGCATACAACCCATAAATGTTGTAATAAAACTAGAGCTATCAAAAATATTGTAAGGCATGGAAAATAATACAACCTATCAGTACTGCTAATGAAATTGTTCTACCCTACGGACTAGCATCTTTTAGGTGAAACAATTCCGTTTGCGGAGAAAATTAAGTATCTGCGTTTAACCCTAAATAGAAAATTTGGCTGGGTTTTCAATTTTTTTGTAGAAAACCACAAACAAAACTAGTCATACCATATCGGTATGCCTATCTGCACCGGGAATTAAATCATAAGAATATGTACCGGCTATACGTGACAGCCATCAGGTAGATCTTTTATCACGTAATAGCTAATCAAACTACAGGAAAATCTGAAATTACCACGACAAGTACTATACTCAGCGGTAGCATTTCCATGGCTAGTTTCCTAAATCTACATTCCAAACCCTTTTAGACTCTTAAACCCCTTAGATCCTTTTAAACACAGAATCAAATCTTGTCAAGGAAAAGATAAGGAGAATAGTAGTTTTAACGATCGACTTATTGACAACTTCTACACTCTTTACCAAAAATGTGGATTGGTTAGCTTTATAGAAGTTAAAGAATTGGAACTATATTTATCTTCTAATATAAAAAATAATTGCCAATATCCAACCCATAGTTTCTCACCTACTATCATCACCTCAGGCTTGAGGAAATTCTTTAAAGTGGCAATGCCATCCGGGTCCCACTGGGCCAGTCCGACATTGGGCTTTTTAAATAATAAAGACATAACTTAGCAACTATTAGCAAAACAAAATATTAAGTATTAAACTAAAAACTGACTGCTCAGAAATACACGTCGCGTCACTACATATTTCTATGCCGTTACTACTTTTCAGTTGGACAGTTGGAGTTGGAACCTTTGGCGTTATAACAGCTAAGTCAGTGGTGGTTCCACGGGGGTTAGTGGAACTTCGAGGGCTCAAGCCCCCCCCCCTTGGATTCAGCCAAGTAATATACGATATTATTAATTCTTTAGTCACAAACGACTCTGGAGCAGGGTTCGGAAAACTACATGTTACTTTTAAAAACTACATAAACTACATTACATGTAGTTAATGTAGTTTATGTTGAGGGTGTAGTTTATGTAACCTATGTATGTAACTTTCAAATATCAAAGGTTTGAGGTAAGGTTATAATAAGTTGAAGCTTTAAAAACACATAATGTATTTAAGAAAACAGAAGAAATATGGCTTTAAATATAATATTTAGATCATATTATATCTATGTGTTTTGCCTAATATTCAAGCCGTTCTGTTGCCAAAGAAAACCGACAGCAAAACCAAATAAACAATCGTGACGGTTCCTTTCCTTACCTAGCAGATCGCAACAACTAATTTTCGAAAGAAAGAAATTTTTAATGTTTTTAACAAATTTTATTTTATAAAGATGCATTAACCTAACACAAGATGTGTTAACCTAACCTAACCTCATATAAAGGAAAATTATTCATAATATCAATACATAGTTTATTAACGTAATTTTCATGTAGTTAATGAACGGGAAACGACGTAGTTTTTGAAGAAAAACTACACGTAGTTAATCAGGTCAATTACGTCTTAATTAACTACTTCCGAACCCTGCTCTGGAGTATGTAGGTACTTTGAGTAGATTTTTTTTAACCCTGCCTTACTTAGCAATCTATCTTTGATATATAGGTAGCTGTTTCTTTGTCTGAACCACGTTTGATTATTGTTGTTCTAAGCAAGTGGAGTTTACAGTTGGGGGTTGGGACCTTTGGTGTTACACAGCAAAATAAAACGCTAAATCACCACAATACACCAAAACACTTTTACTTTTACACTGGACGCGCGTTTCGCTAACCATGTTGGCATCATCAGCAGATGATTAAAAGTTTAGCCATCTGCTTTTGAATTTAATCATCTGCTGATGATGCCAACATGGTTAGCGAAACGCGCGTCCAGTGTAAAAGTAAAAGTGTTTTGGTGTATTGTGGTGATTTAGGATTTTATTTTGTAAGTAGAGTTGTCCAATGTCCACTCTCACTCAATTCTTTCAAAAATCGTTTAATCACATCACATCTGGAACGCTGTTTCTTCTCAGTCTTGAATAAATGGTACTTTCAGAACTCCTTAATTTGGCGACCAGAGCATTAACATGTTAATCCTTTTTACTACTATATAGGCAGTCACAGTGTTGATCCTCAGATCATACAGAATATAGTTGTTATAGATGCATTTTGAAATATTGAACATAGATCTAATATACCGGGTGTTGCATCGTCGGGCGGGACAAAGGAAATCCCATGTAAATTTTAATGGGGTCAATTATTGGCGTCCCTAATTATTTTAGAGAATAATTCTATTTAGGTTTATTGAAGAGCACTAAAACCCACATTCAAAAGAATAACTTTAGATATTTTTGATTAGCCCGTTTATGAGTTATCGCCGATTTCTTTTTAAATATTTCTCCTTTCTTATGGCTCCGTATTTACTTATGAGCACCAGTCAAGGTAAAAGATAACTGTCAAATGAAGTTGTCATTTCAGAAATTTATCTATTTAGTGCTTTGACTTTACAAGGTATATTCTTTGGTGCTTTATTATTATTATTAAAAAGTCATACCTACATCGAAAATATTAGCCATGAATTACACTACCGAAGTAAAAGTATTGATGATTAAATGGTATTATCAAGGAAATAGTTATCAAAAGGTGTCGGACATGTTTGCTGCTCTGTATCCGAATAGACCGATAGGTACCTGGAAAATCTAGAATCGCAAGGAATATCCAGAGATTTGAGACCAAAGGTACCCTAACAAATAACTGCAGATGTGAAGCAAGGCAGGAACAAAGAGAAGATGCAATAAATGATACCGACTTGGAAGTTTTATTGTGCGTGGAAGAGAACGATGGAAAGATCAGCACAAGGAAACTTGATGATGAAATAGGAATAGATCACACTAGAGCGTTTCGAATTTTGAAACGACATAAATACTATTCCTTCAAATATGAAAAGCACCAAGAGCTACGAGATGGGAACGAAATACGACGGCAGGCGTTTTGTTTTGATATGATGGAAAGACCAAACACGGACAGGGAATTTTTAAAAAACATATGTTTCACTGACAAATGCACGTTTACTTTAAATAATGAACCCAATAAAAATAAAAACACTAAATCACCACAATACACCAAAACACTTTTACTTTTACACTGGACGCGCGTTTCGCTAACCATGTTAGCATCATCAGCAGATGATTATAAACTAAAGTACAATCTACAAGTTGAGCGTTTATATACTCGCTCAGTGGGCACCGATGGGCGTGGCAAAATCTAGCCAACCAAGTCAGAGCCTACTGAGCGTAACAGTTAGATTTCCGCCACTAGAGTAGTAGGAACAAAGAACTTGAAGGAATTGGACCGTTGACTCTGTTCATACTATCTTTACATTTATTAATTATGATGCTTTCATATGCATCTAATTGCCTGTAATTTGAGACTTGTTTAATTAATTTTAAATTATTAAGATCTATACAATGTTCATTATCAACAATATGTTCGGCAACGCAAGATTTATCCGGTCTACCATATCTTATCTGAGCTAAATGTTCTTTAAATCTAGTTAATATTGATCTCCTAGTTTGCCCAACATATTTCTGATTACAATCTTTACAAGAAATTTCATAAATACCCGACCTTTCCAGTGGAGGTGTTTTATCTTTTGGATTACCTAATAATTGTTGTAATTTATTATTAGCACTATACACAAGTTTAAATTGACATTCTTAAAAATTCCTTTTAGACCACGGGATAACTCTCTATCAAACGGTATCGAAAAATATTTAGACGTATCTTTCTCCACTTGAAAAGTCGAATTTTCAGAAATCATTAACCTATACCTACGTTTTCTAATTAATTTATCAACTAGTAAAGGAGAATATCCATTACACTCAGCTACATTCCTAATGTAATCTCTTTCTATTTCATATCTTTCGTTGGAAAGTGGGAAACTAAGTAACCTATGAACTAAGAAATTTAAACTAGCCATTTTATGTTCAACACTATGATGTGATTCATTAGGAATATATCTGCGTGTGGTCGTATTTTTCCTATAGATATCAAATGCCAGGCAATTATTAGTATTTCTAATAACTAATACATCTAGAAATGGTAATCTGTCGTTGTTCTCAATTTCATGCGTAAATTTAATGGAAGGAAAACGATTATTTAACTTAGAAATAAAATTATCTATAGTGTCTGAATGTGTGTCAAAAACAGCAAAAATATCATCCACATACCTAAACCATACTCTTGGAAAATACTCAAGCTGATTCTTAGCCTCCACTTCAAACCTGCTCATGAATAAATTAGCCAAAAATGGAGACAATGGATTACCCATTGCTGTACCTTCTCGCTGTTCAAAAAAGTTGTTATTAAATTGAAAACAATTTTGTTTCATACATAACGATGTAAGCTCAATATATTCCCTCACAGTTTTGTTGTCGAGACCATTTGCATAGACCATGTCCAGTGTAAAAGTAAAAGTGTTTTGGTGTATTGTGGTGATTTAGTGTTTTTATTTTGCTGTGTAACACCAAAGGTTCCAACCCTGAACTGTAATGAACCCAATGTTTAAAATTATCGATATATCTTGGAACAAAGAAAACCAACACAGGTTTGTCGAAACAAGGACGCAATATCCACAGAAAGTAATTGTTTTGGCAGGGATATTCGGACACAATATCATTATTTCTTACGCGAAATTTAAATGCAGAATATTATTTGGAACTACTCGAAAATCATATTTTACCTGCTTTACATGATGCCGCTAGCGAAAATCAGGAAGTTTGGTACCAAATGGATGGCTGCCCGGCACATAGTACCCTGGCTGTTCGGGAATATTTAGACAATAGTTTTAACAGAAACGTTATTGGCCTAAATCATACAGTAAATTGGCCAGCAAGGTCTCCTGATATTTCGCCAAATGATTTCTATTTCTGGGGCCATTTAAAATACAGGATATACAAGGATAAAAAATACCCAAATCTAGACGAGTTAAAAAATGCTATTTCTGCCGAATGCAATAGAATTTCAGTTTACCGACTAGCGAATGTAAGAAGATCATTTTATGATCGCCTGGGTTATTGTCTAGCAGTCGATGGAGGAATATTTGAACATCTTCTTAAATCCTAAAGCTCTAACAATTTAATAGTACCTAAATTAATAAGTTATTGAATATTGTAATAATACTATAATTAACCTTGTAATTGATTACTTTATTTTACGTTAGTTCATATTAATTTGTATTTATAAATACATCTTTAAGATTTCCGATGTAGGAATGAGTTTTCAGTAATAATAAGCAAATAGGTAAGTTTCTGAAATGAAAACTTCATTTGACAGTTATCTTTACCTTGACTGGTGTTCATAAGTAAATACAGGGCCATAAGAAAGGAGAAATATTTAAAAAGAAATCGGCGATAACTCGTAAACGAGCTAATCAAAAATATCTAAAGTTATTCTTTTGAATGTGGGTTTTAGTGCTCTTCAATAAACCTAAATAGAATTATTCTCTAAAATAATTAGGGAAGCCAATAATTGACCCCATTAAAATTTACATGGGATTTCCTATGTCCCGTCCGACGATGCAACACCCGGTACCTATAGCTTTAGACTGAAACCTTTCCAGGTCTTTTATGTTGGTATTACTTGCTGTTCCCAAAAATTCTATTCCGTATATCCAAACTGGCTTAGAAATTGTTTTGTAGACTGTTATTTTACTTTTGTTTGTTAATTGACATTTTTTACCAATCAGCCAATCCAATACATGGATCGAAGTTTTGCGTTCAACACTTTACTTTAAATACTAAACGCGCGTTTCGCTTACCATGTTAGAAACATCAGCAGATAATTAATATTATATTGACGAATTTGGTGCCACCATAATATTTTTAGTACAGAATTTGTGAACTTTTCACTGAACAGAATGTGTTTTAGTGACAATATACTTTGCTTTTTCAGTACTGAATCCGTCACATACATTTGACATACATTATGGTGACTACCCCAAACTCAAAATAAATTACAACGCAGATTTTAATAAATAATTCTATTTAATTATCATAGCCTTCATTGTCTACTATTAACTACAGATCAAAACAGGGTATTCAAATTTAAGGTGTCGAAATTAACAATCGCACCTGGATTCTGTAAAATCTATTAATATTATTATCTACCTATTCACAGTTATATTCTAATGTAGGTCAACTTTAAAACTACATAAGAAAAAACCTCTACAGTTTTGAAATTACCAATCAATAATTAGAACTCAATAAGTTTACATGAAATGAGTTATATTGTACTACATTTTTTTATCTAACAAGTTAATATGATGAAGTATTGAAATGACGCCATTAAATTAATCAAGAAGGCACTAGTAGACAGTCGTTGTTGTGTAGTATTAACTAAACAAAGTAAATAACGTAAGGATGTAATATAGTGTGCTTCATATTGTTTAAATTATTGAAACTACGATAGATATTAACGAGCTACATTCAGTGAAAAGATGTTTATGTTATATGCTCACCATAAAAACATCGCCTAAACTCCCTTTGGATGGTTTAAATGATAATCCAGTATAGGGACACAAAAGTTAAACTTAAAGTGTTAATTAAACAATATAATTCACATTTCACTATAACTGGAGTTTTCAAACTCGTCTGGCAATTATTATCTGGACAAGTGACGAATGCCTGAAGATGGAATCGACCGATCTGACGTCACGTCACATTGGTTCAAAATGACCGAAACACCACCGATCAATAGTTTTCCATGTTTGCCAGTAACCGCGTGGGCGACTTATATTCTATTATAGGGTGAATCAGAATAGTTACGTGGTTGAAATCCTTTTTTTAACTCCCTTGCTTGTTAAGGAACAAAGTTGATTTTAACATTTTTATTTGTATACGTCGCAGATGTATCTCATAATTCGCCATTTTGAAAAGAGACTATGCATATTATAAAACA